GACGGAGAACTTTGGGGGGATGTTCAACACTCATATGCGACCAAAAGATTTCAGATTCAGTTCTTTAGAGCCACAAGCCTCTCACATACAGGCACATAAAGTTTTGGCGGAAAAACTGCCAGCTCGAGAACGAGAAAAATTGGAATTTTAAGGAATGTCCCCTCCTTATGTGCGATTAAAAGATTTCCACTTCAACTCTTCTTGCAGAGTCTTTTTCGCGCTAGCAACTTTTCATTTGTTGGGTCACTGAAGCCGGCAACTACAACTGACATGGCACATAGCTGCACAATTAACTTCCTGTATTTCACAAATTCTAGCTACTGGGATTCCTTGCGATCTTGCTACATCATGGAATAGTGCAAAAAGCATGGTCGCACTGTCTGCCTGGTGCATTCCAGCTTGGGTTTTACATATTATTTGCATTTACTGATGTGAGGTATAGAGTACTGTGATTTCAGAATTCGTTTATGTCTATGTTGGATCACATCTTTGGCTCGAATTGGGACCTCTATGCAATTACTTTATTCCTTGGCATGATAATTATGTTATGGATGGGTTATCGAAGGCAGAGGGTTCTTGGGCCTGTGCCCTGACGCATTTTTTTTTTTGCAACAGTTCGAGCAGTGCCTGTGATATGGGATCTTTTCTTGCATGGATAATACAGTATTTGGCTGCTCTATGCAACTGTAAACATAGTCTTTCAAATTCTGCCCTTTCACTGCAGAATCTGCTTGTGAGGGGGTTCTCATTAAAACTCATTAGCGGTCGTCTATCCTCTTTTTTGTTTTGACTGGAGTACTAAATTCGTTCATGTCGAACGAAAAATTGGAAAAAATTTAGATGTAAAATTAAAAAAAAAAAGAATTTAAATCATTTTTGGATTGTCAAAGTTTTTAAATTTGAACAAATCCAGATATACCAAGATCAGTCGATTTATCAGTGTGGGTATTCCCTGCCAGTGAATTTACTAGGATGCTCGCGGATGCCGAGCATAGCTTGACATATCAGACTAATTATATCAGCATATATCAAACTAAATTATGAAAAGCAGGGAAAAAATGGTATATGAGTGGGTGAAGTGCAAAAAACTGGCCAAGGCATCATTATGGCCATTTTGGGTAGGGGCGTAATAACTGAGCCAGTTCTCCATCCTCCGAGTGTAATGTTGTCGAAACTGACGCCATTGTTTTTCTTTTTTAATTTTTCATGTCCAGAGCCATTTTCTTTCCCTTATTCACCCTCTCCAAAGTTGGAAGTACTGGGAAATAGCCCGAGCACTTGCCAGCAGCAGCTACCAGATGGCAAGGCTATCGCTGGCTTTCGAAGATTGCTTGTAAATAAACTGGTTTTGGTTTTTGCACTCAGATTCGCCACTGGTGCGCTCAAACAAATGAACGAATTGTGGGAAAGGGGGCGATTGGTTATGGGATTAAAGGGATTTTGTGAATTAAAAGAGATCTTTGAATGGATTTTTGTAGTGCATGTATCATGCTGAGGTTTCTAAATTTTTTAAAAAAAAAGTGGAACGGTTTAGCAACCTGAAAGTGATGGAATTGAACCATTGATATTCAGTATAGCTCTACTTACCATCGCGCCATGCTTGCTGGGGCTTGCATAAATTTTGCAAAATTCCGCAGCCAATTATGGGCTTAAAAATGTCGCGCTTGCTTTGTCTTTTCTGATAGAATGTAATTTAATTTAAAAAAAAAAAAGCCGATCGAGCGAGTGCAAATGTTTTCTCCTAATTTTATTCCGTGATGGTTTGTACAAGGTTTATTTACTGCTTCTAACTCCTTTGTTCCAGTGTTTTTGGTTTTTAGTCTGGCCGAATGGGCCGATGGATACGGGTCAACACTTATATGGTTTATAGAGGCGTAGAATTACTAACACTTTTTTTTTTCCAAATGTTCCGATGTTTGTTGCTTTCGATGTTAACTTTATGTTGCATTCATTCACTGTTTGTTTGTTTTTACCTTTATGCGAACAGCCTCTTCATGGTAAACCCTTCAAGCGGATGTAGTCTTCACCAGGAACAGTAATTTGCTTGCGATAGCATTGTTAGTATCCATTGCAACGAAGTAACTTTCATCATTGTTTATTGAAAACCCAAGAATGAGCATACTATTTTTATATGCTTTTTGCAGCTGTGCAATGCAGAAAACGCATGTTGACGAGAGGTTGTCTGTATGTGTGCGCGTGTCTGTGTGTGCGCTGCGCGTCTGTACCGATTCTTCGTCTCGATACCTACAAAAACTACAGGACTGAAACTTGAGGAATTTAATCTGCATACGTATACGGGCCCCATCTCCGAAATGGCCGCTCTTACCCGCGTGGTGCCCACGTATGGGCCCGCCAAAGTTTTCTTCGGGCACTAACTCGGGGACCAGAGAAGCTAGAAAAATTGAATTTTAAGGGGATGTTTCCCATCCAAGTAGGTATTAACGGATTCAAACCCAACCTCCGGGTTTGCGTGGTACCTACGTACGGGCCCGTGGAAGTTTTTTTCGGGTAAGTTGCTAACTCGGGAGCCAGGAAAGCTAGAAAGCAGAAATTTTAGGGGGTGTTTCCTGACACTTCTGGCGGCTAGTATTAATTTGTTTGGCTAGAAGCATTTGCCGGAAAAACTGGTACCGGTAGCAACAAAAACTGCGAGGACCAAACAAAAAACGCATCTTCGCACGGGCAGCCCGTACGTTGGCCAGTTATTCAATATTTTGCAGATTAATTTATGGGCACCGTGAGACCAGCAGTTTGTGGATATGGCACCTAAAGTGCAGCAAGGTGGCAGCGATGTACTACTTGTCAGTCAGCAAAACAGTGCCGTGCTGTTTAACAGTTAAAAATTTAGTACTATGAGTATAAGTGCACCGCGGTTGTTTCGAATTCCGATAGTTTTGGGGACAAGGAGTCCGAGAAATTTCAGTGCTGGGGAAGTAGTGTAGTTCCTGCAGCACTCGTTCGGGTTTTCTTCAGCTATTACTCGGAGTCCAAACTTTTTTTTATGAATAGACGGATTTAAAAGCGACTTTTGGAAGAAGAATAACTAGCAACATGCACCAAACTGGCCGATGCGGTCATGCGTTTTGTGCAATTCCGCTTACCGAGCGATTGCCTATTAATGATTTTCACTGCTTTGTACTTTAGTCTGTGCAAAAATAATTGAAACGTTTAAAAATAATTATAAATTTCACGCACTGGCGCATAAAGGCTAAATTTGAAACCCTGAAGGCTGAATATCCTTCCGTGATTCCCGAGATAATAGTTTACTCACCAAAATTTTCACGAGGCTGTAAGTGGTACCCGAGAGCGCGGGAACGCTGAATTTGAATTTGTAAAGTCGGACGTGGACAAGGGGTCATTACCGTAAAACTTCAGCTTTGTGGTCTTTGTGGTTCCCGAGATAATAATTTACTCGCTAGAAATTTTCACGGTCCGTAGGCGATACGCGAGAGCACGGAGGCAATGAATTTGAATTTGCAAGATCGTGCATGGATGGGGGAGAGAGGGGGGTGATTACCCTAAAATTTCAGCTTTGTAGACTTTGTAGTTCTCCAGATGATAATTTACTCGCAAAGAATTTTCGCGGGGCAGTAGGTGATACCCGAGAGCGCTGAGTTTGAATTTGCAAGATCGTACGTGGACAGGGGGTCACTATCATAAAATTTCATCTTCCTAAACTCCGTGATCCCCAAGATAATTTACCCGTCAAAAATTTTCACTGGGTCGTACATGTTACCCGCAGTCAGGGGAAGGCTCAATTTAAATTTTCCGGGTAGCATATGGGGTGAGGAAAATGCTCACAAAATTTCAGCCTCCTAGCTTTCGTGGTTCGCGTGATAATAATTCACTCGCCCAAACGTTTACGGGGCTGTGCGTGTTACCCGCGGGTATGGGGAGGCAGAATTTGAATTTGCGGGGTCGCACGTGGGTGGAGAACGTTCCCTTAAATTTTCAGCTTCCTAGCTTTTGTGGTTCCCGAGTTGAAAGTTGTGGATAAGTTGCTGTGGACACACACACAGGCAACCTCGTGACAATATGCGTTTTGTACTGCTGTTACACAGCACAAAATGCATAAAAATGAAGCTCTAAGAAGTCGACACGCAAAAGAAGTCGTTCTGAAAATCATACAAAACGACGATACAATGTGTTGTTGATATATGTATCTCGGCGTATAGATGAATATGCAGCACAGTCGCGATTGCGGAATTACATGTTGAATTGCCGTTGGCTGGCGCAAAAGTGGAAAATTCCCGGGATTCTGCGTCGAAAAAGCAGTCCCGCCCCTTTCAAGTGATCGTCTTGAAAATGGGTGCAAGACTTCATCACTGTCAAAGGCAGGTGAGAAAGCGCTGATCTTTGTCAGGAAAATGGAATAGAAGATGACGAGAGGTGACTGGTCATGTCCTTTTAAGCAGACAGATGGCGCAGATGTTCTGTTTGAATGACGTGAAGAGTATCAGGCGAGTGGGGAAGAAAGCATCATGCATTACTGATTGTAAGAAGAGGGCCACTCGAACGGTCTTCGCAGAAGTGGCACACCTACATGTATGCGACTTGATGGACCGA